TGTGTTGAAGTTTGGGCTGTGATCCGGTAGGTGGCGCTTAAGTGTGTTGGCCAGTAGGTAGGCTCTTGCCCTGCCATCTGTCTGCATTTCCTCAAGATTGCAGACATGCTCCCTCTCAGTGCTCTGAAAGTGTGGGCTTCTTTCTCACTTGAGTACCGGCTGCAGATCTTGGCTTGGCACACTGTAGCTCTGGGATGAGCTCAGACTCTATGTTCCCGCTCCAGCTTGGAGGCTGCAGGAGAAGAAACCTTAGCAGTGGTTATGGCAGAGGGCCTTTCACTTGTCTGTTGGTGGTCCACCCCAGAGAAACGAGGAGCTGCTATCCACCAGTGCAGCTGGCCGAGGATGGGGTAGCTGTGCTGTGGGCCCAAGCCAGAGGGTGCCTGTTTGGTGATGAGCAGGGCTACGGGTGGGTCACAAGGGAGACAGACTGAGTTCTTCTCCTTAGGGCAACTGCAGCTCACTGGAGGTGTAAAGCACTCAGGGTCTTGCTCCTTATCCAGTACGAAGGTTGCAAGGGCAGTACCTCTGCAGCAGCAGTGGCAGAGGGGCTTTCGGTTGCCTCTGGGAGCTGCACCTCAGAGAAATGCAGAGCCACTGCTACTGGGAATGTTCAGCTGGGGGATGGGCAGTTACACTGCTGGCCACAACTGGGGGCTCTGCTCATTGAGGAGTGGGGCACTTAGGACTCACAGGGAGGAGAGACTGCGCTTCTCCACCTCTGTGGTGACTGTGAAATGCTGGAAGCACCAGAGAAACTTGGGTCTTTGTTTCTTCCTTGGACTGAGGGTATCAGGTATAGAACCACTGCAGTTGCCTCTGGGGCCCCCTCCCCAGGAAAACACAGAGTCGCTGTTCCGGGGGTATGCTCAGCCGTAGGTGGGGCAGCTGTTCTGCAGTTCAAAGCCAGCAGCCCTGTGTGGTGAAGAGTGGGGGTGGGAGCTCGTAGGGAGGGGAGACCAGATTCCTCTCCAATGCTGGCTGCTGTGTCCTGCAGGTGACAGGGTAGTGACCAGGCCCTTTGTTTCTTTCCCAGCCCAAGAGCAGCTAGGGCAGTTCCACTGCAGCTGCAACGGTGGAGGAGTTGTGGGTTGTCTCTGAGATTGTCTCCTCAGACAAATGCAAAGCTGAAGTGTTTCTACTGAAGTGTTCAGGAGAGGACAGGGTAGTTGTGTTCGAGTCCCAGGCCTGAAACCCCCACCCAGTGAGGAGAAATGTGAACAGGGACCCACATTTACAACAGTGTGACCACTTTTCTGTGGGGTGGCTCCAGTGTGCTGGGGATCCACCCGTCGCTAATCACTGCTCATCCTCCAGAGCCTGAAGGCAATTGGCATGAAGGCTGCAAGACAGAAACAATGGCAGCCTACCTTTCCCTCTAGGAGCTCCATTCCAGGGAAGTCTAGAGATGCTGCAGTCACCAAAGCCCAGGTAGGGAGTAGCTGGAGTCGGAAGTCAGGAGGTCCTGCTCAGTGAGGAGAACTGGCGTCGGGAATCCACGCATAAAACAGTCTGGCCGCTTTTTCATGAGACGTCTGTGCTGTTCTGGGGATCCAGCCAGTCCCTAGTCACCACACACTGGGGCCTGAAGGCAGTTCTGGCAATGGCTGAGAAACAGCAAAAATGGCGGCCTTCCCTCCCTCTGGGAGCTCTGCCCCAGGGAAGTGCAGAGCTGCTGCTAGCCCATGAGCCCAGGCAGGGGGGCGGCTGGGGTCCCAGGCAAGTGGACCTTAGCATGTGAGGTGCAGTGGAGGTGAGGCTTGCAGTCCAGCACTGCTCAGTCCCGTCGATTCAGCCCCTTTCCTGAAGGCCTCCCCTACTGCCAGAAATGCAGCTGCTAATTCCAGGATACTCAGGGATTCACGCTCCCAGGATTCCTCATGTGCCTGAGTGGCAGCTCTGCCCAGGCTCCACTTAGCTCTCCACTTCAGTCTGAAGGCTCCAGTGGGGTGGTCTCATGGGGTTATCTCCTGAACGCACGGTGGCAAAGGTACATGGTAGAAGTATGGGTCCCCAGGGACTCTCACTCACTCACCATTTCCCTGCAGTGGAGAAGCCCCCTCTGACTCCGTGCCATTCCCAGGTGAGCAATTGCCTCGCCTCACTTTTCTCCATTCTCCACGGGTAAAGTTGTTTTCTTGGTGGATCCCAATGTGTCCACCTAGATGTTCCAGTTGAAGATCTACTACTTACTTGCTATTCTGTTCTCTCTGCAAGAGTGGTGCACACTAGCTGTTTCTAGTTAGTCATCTTGGCCTTCAAAAGCAGTATGTTAAATGAAGATTTAACCTCTCGTTTCCTCAGTATTCAGAAATATGAAATGTGACTAACAATAATATCATCGAGGCAGTGTAAGGAAGAACAAATAAGAAAAGATACATAAAGTACAATAATTTACATTTAGCACACTTACTATATTTGTAAACTTGGGGAATATTTTTAAATCCAATGTATTTCAGTTTTCTCTTATGTATAAGGATGAAAATAGCATTCTCATGACTGTGTTATGAAAAATGAATGTGATAATATACATATATGTATATATATAGAATGCAGGTTTCAAAACGAGTACCCTGTAAATACTCAGAAAGTAGAATATTATTTATGTTTGGTATAACACTCCTTCTGCTGGGATTTGGATGTCTAGTCTGATCACTTATATCTCATACTCCCTGTTTACCTTTCTCATGGAAATTCTAAATCAAATTGGCATGGAAAGTATCTTACTAAAGAAACTTCTTTATTTATTTCTACCATTTATTTTATTTTATTTTTGAAACAGAGTCTTGCTCTGTTGCCATTCACCAGGCTTGAGTGCAGTGGCGTGATCTCAGCTGACTGCAACCTCCATTTCCCGGGTTCAAGCAATTCTCCTGCCTCAGCCTCCTGAGTAGCTGGGAGCACAGGTGCGCACCACCACGCCCAGCTAATTTTTGTATTTTTTAGTAGAGACAGGTTTTCACCATGGTCTCGATCTCTTGACCTCGTGATCCGCCCACCTCGGCCTCCCAAATTGCTGGGATTACAGGCGTGAACCACCGCGCCTGGCCTTCTACCACTTATTGACAAAAACATCTTGAGTTGTTATTGTCTCAGAAACAGTCAAATAAAAAAGTCCATCACAATGGTGGAATTTGGATGAGAGAATATATACTCTGGTTGACTAATATTTTAAATATTAGTCAATTTTAATATATATTTTTTAAAATTTCTCAGAATAAATGGTTGAATGATGCATTTAGGTGTTTGAGGCCATAAAGATATGAGATCCTCCTGGGATTCCTGTGCTCTAGAGATGTTCACGTACAGCAAAATAATTTGTACAGGTTTAGCAAGGGTTGTGATTAAGATTTTGGCAGGTAATTCTTTCCCTTACCATCCCTGGTCCTGATCCTTGTCAACTTGCATTTCTGGCTTTAGATTAACATAAGAAATCAACGATAAGAATAGGCTGCTCCTTGTTTTAAATCCCAATGCATATACAACCTATATCAGATAAAATCTTTCAGCAAACCCATAATAAGTGGAACAAGACTTTCCTGCTCATCTAGTGAGCCATAAGTAAGTAGTTTGATACTATATTTTTTTCAGGTGTAGTTGGACACCCAAGAATAAATGGTTGAATGATGCATTTAGGTGTTTGAGGCCATAAAGATATGAGATCCTCCTGGGATTCCTGTGCTCTGGAGATGTTCACGTACAGCAAAATAATTTGTACAGGTTAAGCAAGGGTTGTGATTAAGATTTTGGCAGGTAAGATCTAGAAATTTCTACATAGTCCTATTCAACCAATATAAGTGAGAAAGGCATTGTTTCTGGAGATGTTCATTTAAGTGGACATTGAAGTGGCCAAGAGACTATGGATCTGAGGTTGCAATGACTGAGCAAGGGCTCCATTCATAGCCACTTGTGCCAAGTTGGCAAAAAGGCACAGGCTGCTAGCTCAAATAATACGTGAATAAACTATGGAGACAATACAGCTAATTAAAACTAACTAGCTAAGAACTACAAAGATAACAACAAAAACAAAATAGAGAGCTTGAATATAGGAAGCCTGTCTCGCAGAGTGTGTAGAAGGTGGTAGAGGTGTCTGTTGCTGGGTCAGAATGCAGCTTGGGGCTTGGGTAAGAAACAGTTGTAAAAAAATGATGATTTAATTATTTTGCTTTTCCTCCAAATTTCCCACACTTTCACCATAAATACAGGCTGCTGAACCCCAAGTGCAGGTGACTACAGGGTTCCCATTATGTCGGAGGAAAAGATAATCTGGACTAATAATTGATGCACGTAGCACGAACTGACTTTTTCCCCTCTTGTATTCTGTTCCTCTGAGGTAGGCTCTACTTACCCTCTGAGCTTATGCTATAGAAAGGGGGAAAATCAGTCCTTCACTCCAGTTGTTTAAATGCTATTATTAGGAAAAGTAAAGGGAGCTAGGAAAGCTCATAAGTGAAGGACCCGAGAGAATCAGCAATGAGAGGATCTCATCTAATCTGAAACGTTGGTATCAGTGAGGACTTGTCCTAGGTAGGGATTTGGGCTGTCACCTATGAAGAAGTGGGTTAGAGAAGAGACTGGAGAGAGTGATCCCAGCAAAGGAAGTAATCTATGTCAAAGCTTCTGATTTGGAAAAGAGCATAGACAGTTTCAAATAAAACCTGAGGTGTGGTCATGAACGAAGTGAAAGGATGAAAGGTAACTAGAATCTTGAGAATGAAGACATTCTTGTGTTCACCTTCCGTTATCTGTCTCCATCCCCACAATCTGTCTCCATACCTGGAGAGTAATCCTCTAGAGTCAGGAATTATTTCATGAACATATACTTTGTAAATACCAAAAGACAAACACTACAGGGTCTCAAATAATATACTTAACTAATGATTATAAATTATATTAAAGAGATTGTATTCAGTAGAGATCAATGAGGTGCCTATCATGATCCAATCACCCCAGTAATTACGATGTTGTGAAGCACAGGAATAGGAAATACATGGTGGTACCTTGTATGAGAAACTGCCTGATGAGGTTTGTGCACATGACTGAGAAACCCGATGCTGACACCCATGTGGAAATGAGTCCTTCATTGCAGTTTGCTGAGGCTGCCTCTGCTCTGGGGCTGAATTCGTCAGGAGTTTGACGTCAGAAGTTTGAGTAGTTGTATCCTTAGTTGGGAAGAAAACAGATTATTTTTTTCTGGTTAATAATTTTCAATATGAGTCAAAACATGATAAATATTTTATTTTATCCTTTTTTTTTTTTTGAGACAGAGTCTTGCTCTGTCACCCAGGCTGGAGTACAGTGGCGTGATCCAGGCTCACTGCAACCTCCACCTCCCGGGTTCAAGCAATTCCCTGCCTCAGCCTCCCGAGTAGCTGGGATTACAGGTGCCCTCCACCATGCCCCCACTAATTTTTGTATTTTTAGTAGAGACAGGGCTTCACCATCTTGGCCAGACTAGTCTTGAACTCTTGACCTCGTGATCCACCCGCCTTGGCCTCCCAAAGTGCTGGGATTACAGGTGTGAGCCACCATGCTCTGCCTATTTTATCCATTTTAACAGGATCCTCTCTGTGCAGATGTTCTCTGGAATATCTGTATAAATGTAAAAAAAATTCCCTAAATCTCCTCTTCTGCATACACAGAAACCAGAATTACAAACTTTGCCCTGAAAATGTCTGATGGGTGTTTATTATCTAAGTCTTTCTAGTCAAGAAAATACACAAATGGGTACCTGTTTTCTGTTCTTCAGATTGTAGGAAATCCAGCTCTCTCTCTCTCTCTCTCTCTCTCTCTCTATCTATCTATCTGTCTATCTACTCCATCACTGTGCTGGAAAGATTCTTTCAAATCCACAATTCCAGATACAGAATTCTGCTGTTTTGTAGTTTGCATCAGTTAACCAGAATTCTCCAGGCTGTCAATCATATTTAGAAATACTTAACAATCTACTTTAGCATTTGGAGTAAATGTTTTTTTTTAAAATATTTTTTCCCCAAAATCAAGGACATAGTTCTTCTCAATCATATAATTTTCTCTATTTTCACTGATTTTTACCATTCATTAATAACATGTTAATTTCCATAGTTCTACCACTTCTAGAATTTGATTATCTAATATATAAAAAGCACTCTGTTAGAGAGAAGAATGAAAGGACTCTAATTCTGGAGAGTGGCTTCTGTATGACAGGGCACTTTATTCTCTCTGGCTAACTCATTATTTTTGAGAAGGCCTGTAGAGCTTGGACTATGGAAACAAACCCATTACATGACACTGTCAATTCTGAAATTTTTAAAATAAATTGCTGACATTAGTATATCTCAACTTCTAATCTAAAGCCACATATGATCATAAATTGTTCAAGTTTTACATTTCAGTAGGGCTAGATATAAATCCTGACTCTAGCACTGTCTTTGAGAACTTAAAGAAGATTTTTAATGTCTGTATATGTCTATTTTCTTCTATGTGAATTGGGATAGAAAGTAGCGTTCTCTTGATAGTTATGAAGAAGGAATCAGATAACGTACATCAGGAACAACATTTAAGAACCAGCACCTAGTTAAGTGCTCAAATCGTAGAAATATAATTATTGTCATCGTTGTTCCATGTTCTGTGCTGGGACTTGTAGTTTTTGTCTGTTCTGCAAATATATCATGTGCTATAGATGTTTCCCATACTTCCTTGATTTGGGGGGAACCCAAATTGCTGAGGCTGCCTCTGCTCTGGGGCTGAATTCATTAGGAGTTTGATGTCAGAAGTTTGAGTAGTTGTGTCCTTAGTTGTTGGGAAGAAAATAGATTTTTTTTTTTCTGGTTAATAAGTTTCAATATGAGTCAAAACACGATAAAATATTTTATTTTATCCTTTTGTTTTTTTGAGACAGAGTCTTGCTCTGTCACCCAGGCTGGAGTGCAGTAGTGTGATCTAGGCTCACTGCAACCTCCGCCTCCTGGGTTTAAGCAAGTCCCTGCCTCAGCCTCCCGAGTAGCTGGGATTACAGGAAACCCCAAATCAAGTAAGCATGGGAAACATCTTACATCATAAGCCTCTCTGTTCACTTCCGTGAAATTAGTAATTTACTCTCATTGACAGGAGGCTCTGTAAAAGCAAAGAATAGGAGGACTCATCAGTTCCGCTATCTTGTATCATTGAGGACTTGCCAAAGGAAAATATTTAAGCTGGCATCTGAAATTTAAGGAGATTCCTGCCAGTGATGGGATGGGAGAAATGGATTCCCAACAACGAAATAGCATGTTTTAAAATGTATACTTGGAATATTTATTTCAACTTGGGATGCTGAAAATAAATCCAGAAATAATACCAGTAAGCAAAGGGGAAAGGTGTGAAAGAAACTGGAATGTGGGTCATAACACACTCTTTGTCTTCATCTCTGCTTGTCTGGCCATCCCCCCCCCGCCCCCCATTTCTATAGGTAGAACAACATAAGATACTAACCCTCTTGAGGTCAGCAATCATTGCACAAATAAATATCTTAGATATCAAAGATGATAATGTGGTAGTATCTCACTGTATGTAGTCAGTAAATAAATGGGTGATTTAATTTCATCTAGAGATTGTACACAGTTAGGGATTAGAAGAGAAACTCCTTCAACAGTCTAATAATTCTTGTGATTTATGTTTGGGAGATATGAGGCATGGGACCCAGGAAATTGTACCTTGGTAAAGGAACTGCTGGATGGGGTTGTTGGTGGCACCTGAGGAGTCTTGATGAGATTGTGTTGAAATGGGAAGGTTGTGCCAGCCTCTGAAGGTTTTGGAAGCTGACTCTGCTCCTGCCATAGTGCCATGCTGCTGGAGTCATGGCTTCTCTGCTTTGTTTTCTTCCATATCTGAAAGTATTCATTTTTTCTGTTTAGTGTTTTTTAATATCAGGGAAAGCACAACATCTTTAAATATCTGAGAATATCATCCTTTATTACATTCTAATAGATGTCATTACCTCTGAACATTGCCTCTATCTAATGTATTCCTTCAGACAACTGCCAACATGTTTTTTTGCTAAAATGTAAAATGTTCTAACATTCTTAGTAAAATAAAATCTTTATTTACTTATTTTTAAAAAGTGAACTCCATTTTTTTCTTTATGGCAGAAGACAGATGAGAAGAGGGCTGCTTGTTACCTGTCTTGCGTGAGTTTCTGACACATTTCCACGTATTCCAAAGTTGTACAGAACTCACTATGCTGCTTCTCACTTTTAATATTTGTATGCCACATTTTTTCTGCCTGAAATCTTTCCAGTGTCTGTCTTTACCTTGTTAACAGCAGTAGTATCTAGTGCATACTGATTTGTCATAATGTACAAGGAAGGTAATGGGATATGAACTATATATCCATGATCTCATTTAATTTTCAAACCAATCTAAGGAGGAACATTTAAGCTATTTCTCCAATATCATGCAACTAATGAGCAACATATATACCAACCCTATCTTACCGCAAAGAACTTGCTTTTGATCACTATTTAAGTTAGTCCCGTGCCTTCCTAATTTCTTCAAATATTTTAGTATTTAGCACAAGTTTCATGTTCTTTCGAAGTCAATAATGAATGTCATTCTCTCAATATATTTGAATAATTTTCTCTATTTAAATGTATGTGCAAGGGCATCATTTGGTTTTTTCATGCACTCTGCAGAATTTTAAGTGTAAAACAACAGAAATATGATTTCCTAAAACTTAAAGCAAATGATTTTTATCTTCGGAAAACTAACATTTCTGTCTCTATTTCTCACCCGGATGAAACTATGCATTTCTGACATCAGTTGTAACACATCTTTCCGCTTTCTCAGTCGAAAGCAAAAGAGTTGAAGCTTATCTCCTTTTTCACAGGGGATATTGTGATATTCTCCTTTTCCTACTACATCCATTCTCCCTGTTTTATCCAGAATTTCATAGATTGTCACCTTCCTCTTTATAGTTTTCTGCAACAAAAAATTAATATCACGTTGGTAAGAACTTAATAACTACCATACATAAAGGAAAGTCTTTTGTAACAGATTAAAAACAAGATGCAAGACAGCAACTCCTAGTACAGTGTCGACATATAGTACATCTGCCTTAGTTTAGACCATCTCACAGAGCTCTCCCTTGATATTCTTTTTTAAGTCCTTAATGTTCTAAGTATTTCTATGACAGTTCTAGAGCAATGGGTTATCTTCTCAATTTCAACTTCTTTCATTTCCAGGACAGCTATGCTTCCCAAAACACCTTGATACAAAGGAACCTGAACTCTGGTACGGTTGTTTGGCCTCTGCCCCTATGCAAAAAGAATAAGCATCTGTTACAACTCATCATTCGCCATGTTATGAGGAATCTATAATAAAAAGCAAGCTTCTATTAACTAATTACTTTTTGACTTTCTCTATGTACTGAATCTCTTTCAACGTCTGCTCCCATCTGAACTCAGGACTTTAAGCTCAAATGATCCAATCTCTTACTCATCAAGGCTATCACCCGTCATTCTAGATATGTATTTCTTTTCTTTTTTTTTCCTCTCTTTTAAAATTTTTTTTTTTTTAAGACGGGGTTTCACCATGTTGGTCAGGCTGCTCTTGATCTCCTGACCTCAGGTGATCCACCCACCTTGGCCTCCAAAGCGCTTGGATTACAGGCGTGAGCTACCACGCCCGGCCTAGATAAGTATTTCTAAGAATAATTTAAGAGTGTATACAGAAAGCAATGCTGGTAAAATAAGAGATTGTTCTAGAAAATAAATATAATGGGTTGTGAGCTATCGGTCATCTAAGAAATTATTGGAATCAATAGCCAGGTATAGATGGTTTTCTGAGTTGGAATCTCTCATGCTAACTAGTTTCATGAATTTTGACAGTAATATATTAGAAAAATTATTCTCTTTTTTTTGGTGACATGATGTGTCTAATATTCAAGTACAGATTACCTGACTTTCCAAGTATCACCCGAATTCTATTTCTCAGTTGTTCAATACTTTTTGATGAATGGGTTTCATTTGGCCTGAACATCGTCCTACCTGTTTTCTGCATTTGATTTCCAGGTATGAACAGTCAATTCATTTGTTGCCCTGACTGTCAAAACTGGAACTCAAGCCTCAAAGGACAATACTTCATTCAAAATGAAAGTAATATGATTTTTGCTACAACTGGGATTATAATCAAAGAAATAAATTTAGTATTAGGCTAGATCCCTCACTATTCTTGATCATTATGGCTCAGAATAGATAGTCATAGCTGATGAAGTCTCACGGTTTCTCAGTGAATGCTTTACTAAAGAACATCAGGGTGACATTTTGGAAAGAAAAACATTGGAAGGAGAATATTAATAGGTTTCCTAATCTTGGTCTTAACCTTGAAGAAGACTTTATCTAATTGTCAGTTGTTTTGAGAGAGTCCTGAGTTCTAATGTTAAGTAAATATGCAAAGTTCCATTTAGTACATCAGGGATCTTAATTTCAAGTGTTTTTCTAGAAAATGAAACAAAACAGCTTTGATGCCTTACGTCATGTAGCGTAAATAATCCATATACAATGTCTCCTGAAGCTTGTCTGTGAAGAATATTGATCCTCGGAGTTTTCCTTGCTCTTTTGATGACGTCCTTTGGAACCTGAAACGTTTGGTCAGGACCAGCTTCAAATACAGAAGAGGTTTCATTCACCTCTAGGAGACTATTATATTTAGAATAATTTGATATAATGATGATTCTCTTTTTAGTGAATTTCCTCTTCAAGTTGATGTTTAAAACCTTCACATGAAAGAACTCTGTCTGCGTAACCACTGTAGCATGAAACATTCTTCTTCGCTCGTTTTCTAAGGATTCATATTTGAATATCTTTGTTGCATTTAGCACCATCACCATCATTGGGTCTTTTGAGCAAATATTTTTTCTGGCAGTTGCCTGACGTCTGACCAATGGTCTTAGGCTTTGTGCCTGGTAAAAAAGAAATACGAAAAAACAAATTTTTGAGTGAGGAATACAGAACTGCTCTTCAATGACCTCAAGTCGCAACTTTGGGCCCCAAAACTTCATAGATGTGTAGAGCAGGATACAGAGAATGAGAGGATATCCTGACGTAGTCTAATAGCCAGAGGAAGTAATATAGGAGACCACATGGTAAAAGAAAAAGACTTTTCTCTAAACAGAATAATCCTTAAAATGTAAGATGTAATAGCAACATAAGACAAATGGATGCTGAGCCGATTATCATGAAGTTATTTAAAATAAATTTTAGGATAAAATAATGAATTGCAGTTTTATTCTTACCAGCTTAAAATGCCAGAACATAAAAATAGATGAAATACAATTGAATAGCACAGAAAATGGTAAGGGTGTCTACCAGAAACCACATACAACAAGAGGGTTTAGTTATTACCAACGTAGACAGGGCAATTTTTAGAGAAAAACTCATACTTTTCCTATCTAAGATAATTACTGTTAAAGCAAGTGATAACACCTGTGGGCTCAACCCCTCAGAATGTCCTCATCTCAGTAGGTTCAGGCTACAGACGCTCTGCAGAGTGTCATTTCCACCACTGCGGACTTTCTCAATGTCAGGGCTCTAGGAGGTAGCATGCTGACAGAAAACCAAGGATGAGAGTGGATTGTCTTTAATATCCTTTTTCTATAACATCCAGGTTTCCTTAAATTCCTCTTTCCTAATGAAGGAGAAGTAGTTCAATTTCAAGAAAAAGTTCTGGAGGAACAGGTAGGCCTCATCCACAAACCAGCAGCTTCTGGACTGGTCTGACCTGGACTACTATACACAGCGATCATTTGTGAGTGATTGGACTTTATTGGATCTGACTTTTTATCGATGTGACCCATTCAGCCTAACACAGAAAAGTCCTTTCCCAATACAAGTTAATCAGTAACAGTAGACTCATTCATGAGAATATTAGTAGTAGCTGATATGCAACCTCACAAGGAGCCAAATGAATCCAGGACGTGCATGAAGGGGATCATATAACCACTCAGAGAGACATAATAGGACAATACATTGTATGATGCTATTTTCAGGAAAAATAACGTGTATACATAGGAGTAAATATGAGAGGGTATATAGGGAAATGTAGCATGTTATGGATGCTGGAATTTCACATAAATTAAGTTTAATCTTATTTGTCTACATTTATTCCTTTTTTTCTGAAATAGTCTTATGTTAATACAAAATCTAATGAAAGGTTAAAGGTAATAGAGCATGTTCCAATTACAGCTGGTCTTGTGGTTTCATCACCTGTGGCCCCTGTTGCCCATCAAAGTTGATCCCCTCCATTGTGTATCAGAAATATAGAACATCCATTTTTATAATAAAGATCATGAGAGTTTCAATTAGATTTTAGACTGTCCCTGATAGTCTAAAAGTAAAGGCTGACCTGTCCAAATCTGAGATGAGTACAACAGTATAAGGATTATCAGAATCATGCAACTATAAATTATAGTTTACTTTCTTTCATTTGCAAGTCTTGGTGTATGGTCTTCTGTCTGCCTACATTTTCCCAAACTCCTGAGCTCTCTTCGCTATTCTATCCTTTTGGCCTCACAATAGGTACTTTGACTGAGTCAGATGACCTTTATTTGTCCTTTGCTTAGTTCTAGTGGTTCATATCTTAGAACATGGTTTACATTTTTTTATTGAGGAAAGGTATTTATTGGGAGCTTCCCATGAGGCAGACAATGAACGAGGCCGTGGAATACAGTGGTCCACAGAATTACAAAATAGCCTTAATCTTGGAACTACTTTCAGTAGGTGGAAAAGATAAACACTTACTAACTTCAGTTTTCATAAATAGTAGAAAAGAAAGAAGTCCCTAGGAAACAGAACACCATGAAGGTTTAACCTAAGTTACAGGGGTCTAACTGAGGATTCCCTGGGGATAAGATCACAGTATTGGGATCCAGAGGGTAGATAGGGTTGGCCAATTAAGAGGTTTAAGGTGAAAGAAATATGGTGTGTGAAAATCCTAAAGTAGAAAGGAGCATGGTGTATGTCAAAGAAACTCGAACCAATTAGTGAGCAAAGGGAAGAGGTGTGAAACAGATGGGGGCAGTAGACGGTGAGTCCATTGCTGAAAGTTCCGGATTCTACAGCTCTCTCTCTCTTCCCCAAACAGCACAGGACAGAAAACCTCCTGAAGTCAGAGATAATGTCAAGTTCATAAAGTATCACTGTGGAAGCAAAATATTAAAATGGAATAAATTCTCAGCCAATACATTTGATTTACTGGCTGATTATTGATGACATTTTTCAGTAGAAGATGAAAGCATATTCCTACATTTTAGGTGGAAGAAAATGAATTAAAAGCAGACCAGGAAGAGAATACCTCAGTTGAGGAAGTGTTGGATGGAGTTGATGATGAGGGCTGGGGAGGTGGGGAATGGCTCCTGGCTGTGGACATGCTGGCTTCTGCAGGACAGGGAGGCTGGGTTTGCTCCTTGGACATCTTATGCCTTTTGATTCCAGTCTCTTCTTCAGATGAGTTTTTTCTTTTCTACAAGTAGTTATTTTTTTTTTAATTATTCTAAGTGTCAAATGAAGCAGAGCACATTTTCATTACAAGGTAGTATGTTTATTACATATAAATTGTGTTTGTGTTTCTTGGAAACTTAAGTGGGTGCTGTACATCCCCAGGCCAATTGAAAGAACAGGGCATAGATGGCTCCATTTAAAAAAGGGAGCAGAGAAAGTAACACACATCACTCCTTAATTACTTGTGTTTTGGGATGTGTTGACTTGCAGACAAAAAAACTACATTTTTACAAACATGGGCAAACATTTTTTTATTTGACTCTCAAGTTAACATCCTCTATTGGGGATGAAAATATAATACTTATTTTACATAATTTACATTTACTAAAGTGGTTAACTCGTTGCCTCGCAGAAAGATGATCAGCTATTATGTAATTTGATAAATCTGAAACTTGATGGGAAACATGAAGAAATAACTGCCTGCTGGAGAGAGTGAGTGGAGAAGCCACAGCAGGGCTTCCGCAGTGAGACTTGAAGCTGGCTCCTCTTCCTGAAGCTTACCTGAGCTCCAGGAGTCTCCTCTGCTCCTTCAGCTGTGAGAGTGTGGCTTGGAGTGGATTCAGGTGTACCAGGATCCACTTCATTCTGCTGCTGCTTCTTAGATGGGGTTTTTCCTTTGACTGGAAAAGATTCAATTTTATTCACAACTAATGAAGAAAAAAGGAAGATATATAAACCCAGAGCAGATGATCTGGGACAGCTGAAGCAGTTCAAATACTACGTGCTCTTAGTGCCTGCTTGAGAGTTCAGGTGTGGTTTAGCCTACCTCTACCTCCTTAGCCTAGTCTGGCTTCCAGGAGGCCAGCAGAAACCAAGGCACAGGCACTGACTCATACTCCTCGGCGTTTTCATCGCTCTTTCCCTGTGCGGTGAGTACATTCTTCCTGTCCTCTGAACTCAGTGAAACCTTTTCCCAATCCTGTTCTTCTGTCATTTCCTTTTAAAATTTAAGGTTCTCATGATGCTGACTACTTAGTCCCACCCTCCAGATAATCTATTACAGAAACCAATGAAAGATGTTATATAGGTGTGTGAGGTGAGATATGGTGAGTTTTGACTGTTTTAATTATTTTAACTCAATCATATGACAAGAGGGGAGGTCTTCATACTTCCAAGAATGATGCTTACATTTAAATTCTGTGTTATCTTTTGTATTATAAAGGATGTGTTGAATATTCTCAGACACATTACTTAGCTTAATGTACATATCTTAGACATAAACAACACTTTTTATAATTTTATTTTGTCATTATTAAATCTTTTCTTTTTTTTTGGTGGTGGGGGAGTGGAGTTTCACTCTTGTTGCCCAGGCTGGAGTGCAATGGTGCGATCTTGGCTCACTGCAACCTCCGCCTCCTGGGTTCAGGTGATTCTCTGGCCTCAGCCTCCCGAGTGGCTGGGATTACAGGCCCACCACACCTGGCTAGTCATTATCTAATCTTTTAAATGTACTGGAAGTCACAATCTCTCTTCAATTCCCTCTCATTTTTGTTCTTTTACTGCATCTCAACTCCAATATGTGTCAATCCACATTAATAATGGCATGCCGTAAGTTGTCATGACTGATGGGTCACAAATTGAGAAAAGGATGCATTAGCTGACTGAAGTGGCATTCTAATCAAGGTTGGGAAGGATTTGGGGATGGCTGCAGGGAGTAGGTGTTCCCTCTTCCCAATTACCTTTTAACTTTTCTTTTTTAAGAGTTTCAGCAAGGTTACCAAGTGTTGGTATTTCTTTGAAGATTTCTGTTAGTCTGCCCAAACCAGCATCACCTGGGAACTTTTCTTCCATCAAGTCAGCAATCTGAATTTTGTCATACTCGTCTCTCATTTTTGGATTAAGTTTTAAATCGCTGCTCAGTAAGGACTTAACCATTCTAAAATGATAATCATTGATGACCTCTAATCCTTTTAGTAGAACAATTGTCTTGTAGTTATTTGCCATCTCTAAAGATACAAGTGAGCCTACAAGAGAAAAATGTCATACAGTGTTACACATGTATACAGACTATTTAAAAGAAGATGTATGTCTATGCGATTGAATGGCCATAAGAAAGAGTTGTTCATGAATATGTGTGATAAAGAAGGACTTAATGACCAAATGTGTTACCATAGAAATTGAGTGAACTGCTGCTTTAGGAATGTCTAAATAATTTTTCCCATTGAATAAGGATAGTTGAGTTGGGCCCAGGTATTAGAGGGAGGTTTGAGAACAAGCAATAGTCTCAGTGTTTAGAGTATGGGCTGTGCAGTGTCAAAGTCTTTGTTTTCTCTTCCCATCCTTTTTGGGGCTGGAGCCTACTCACCAAAGCTTGCCTGTTGTTTCTTAAATCTTCCCACACCCACCGCTGTAACTGAAGTGTCTTATGTGTAAACAGGCTGCATCCCCCCACCTTGTGTGAATAGTTTTCTGCCACAACACTACAGTTTCATTCTTGGGCACTGACCCTATTCTTAACTCTTCCCTAGTTAACTATCATTAGTATCCTCTTCCTTGCCCTGTTTGCCCTCTGTGCCCATAAAACTATCGCTTTCCTGAACATCTACATTTTCTCTATTGCAGGAACACAGGATTTATTGGCTGGAGGTATTTCAAAGTTACTTGATTTGTCTAATACATTTTCATTTCACGGATCCACATTTCTCTCTATAAACTACATTTTTATCCCACTGAGATCTTTCAATATTCGCCCATTTTCTTTTCAACAATTCCTCGCTTCTTGTATTATTTTAGAAGGCTGTGAATAATCTGCATTCGTTTTTACCTGTGGCACTTGTGTGTTCTTTAGAGCTTACATTTCAGAAGTATAAAACATACCATACATTTTCATGTTTCATGACTTTGCTAATTCTCTTCTCATTGCTTGGAAAGCCATTCCCACATTCATCTCTCTGACTACCTCCCATACAACCTTTAAGACTCAACTGAGGGTTTGTCTTCTAGAAATTTTCAGAGTCCCCTTATGGACAGAGTGTTAATCCTTGGGATCTCTTTAGCACCTGTGCACTTTAGCACATGATGACACTCAGAGCATGGTATGGATTTGTATTTCTTTTCAAATTAACACAGCTCATTGGAAGGTCGAGGCAGGAGGGTCACCTGAGATCAGGAGTTTGAGACCAGCCTGGCCAACATGGTGAAACCCCGTCTTTACTAAAAATACAAAAGCTAGCCAGGTGTGGTGGTGGGTGCCTGTATTCCAAGCAGCTTGGGAGGCTGAGGCAGGATAATCACTTAAACCCGGAGGTGGAGGCTGCAGTGAGCTGAGATCATGACGCTGCACTCCAGCCTGGGTGACAAGAGCAAAATTCCATCTAAAAAAAAAACCAAAACCAAAACCAAAACTAAATATTTTAATTTTAGAAACCATGTATTTGTGTACCTCTTGTGTAATTTAGATATTTAAATTTCTGGGGCTGTTAATTGCTTTCTTCTTGAGAGACCCTGAGTGTCCTCAGATTGAAAAGCATAGAATGAAGGAAAATCTATACAAGGACATATAGTGAAACTGAAGAATATAAAAAAAGCAGATAAATACTCCGTAAGCCTCCAGGAATGAAGAATAGATCACCAGCAAATATCCAAAAATTAGATTGAAACTGATTCTCAACAACAAATCTCCTTGAAACAGGACAATGGAATCATTTTTATATAGTGCTGCTACAAAATCCCATATAAATTGCTAAATAAAAAATTTAGAAATGGGAAGTCTTGATTTGTTTAGTGAGTATGACAACACAATTTATTTGCAAAATGAAACCAAATGTGAGGTTACAGGAGGCTATGTATGATTTTTATTTTCTCCACTTAAATGCAAATGTTCATACGTTTTGTTGCTGAAATATTAGTGGTTTTGCTTTTGCAGTAAGGATCCTGATAACACTTGGTTTTCTAGAAAATGTGCATTACATAGTCTTTATAAAACTCCAAGTCCTGAATTTCAAAACATATCAAGCTTCCTGGGTACAAAAGAAATGCTATCACCTTGTGTTGAGGAAAAAAAATAATTCTAAAACTAGAATTTCAATCTAAACAAAATGATATTTAAACAAAAGATCCACAAAAACTGTTTTCTGAAGCTCAAGGCCTACGAAGTTTTTCCAGACAAAGATGCACACCGGGGCTGGGTGTGGTGGCTCACGCCTGTAATCCAAGCACTTTGGAGGCCAAGGCGGGAGGATCATCTGAGGTCAGGAGTTCAAGACCAGCCTGACCAACATGGTGAAACCCCGTCTTAAAAAAAAAAAAAAAAAAAAAAAGATGCACACAGAACATTTTTGGAAGTACTTTTCAATTGAAAATTAAAATTTTTTTTAAAAAGCTGCAGGCCAAAAGAAAGAGTGAAAAATGAACTTGATTATATGTGTCTATGTCTTAAAAAGAAAGCCCTGATCAAAGAAAAGAGAAACAGAAAGGGAACCAACATGGTGGAGGGAGGAAAGAAAAAGAATATGACAGTTTACTAATGTAATTGTCTTAGAGGGTGAGATGGAAATACAAGTTAAAAAAAGACAAGGAGGAGAATATAGAAGTGTTATGAATCGCAATGAAGATAGCAGAAACAGGCCAAAATATGTTAATTATTAACTTATACATAAAAGGCCTAACTAGTTAAATGACAACTTCGATCAAATTTGACTAAAAATTCTGTATGTATGTTTATCAGTAAAAGATCACTTAATGGTGAAAAAAATTTTTAAATTATCATGCAAGGAGGAGCTAGAAGATAGTCAGTTTATGTTAGCATCATTTTTAAAAGATCTTAAGACAACAAGTATGATCAGATACCCCATGATAAATGGTTCAATTCCTGGGAAGTTGCAAGAGTTTAAATTATGAATTTAATAATAATCAGTATGTATTATTTTTATTACTGTATAGTCCTTCATGATAATATAGTGTCATATAATATATCCTCATATACACACACATTCACACACACTACCACAAATATATGTATTTATATGTGTATGTTTATGGAAATGTATACATGATCACATACACACATAATATACATTAATATATATGCATATGAGCATATCTATAATATATATGAATTTCAGAGAAGTACAAGAAAATACAGTCGTATGGTACATTTTATGTCTTTAAATACTAAATGAACAAGGTAAAAAATGTATAACACTTAAAAAGTTTGAGTGAGATAAATATTGACAGCAATATTTATCTAACATATATAAATTCTGAAATCATTTAAAATCTCATATTCTGTTCAAGCATACTGAAATATTGCACGAGGCTATACGGAAAGTCTTCTAAATATTCTAAACTTTGACAATATAAATCTATTTCAGATTGACTTCTCTGCCTCTCCCCTATACCTTGCCATTAGAAAAATTAAAAATAATTAACTTTCAGGAGGGCAGGAAGTAATCTTAAAATGTCTGAAAAACTGCCTCTTACACCTGGTGTAGAATGGAGCTGATGTAAAAGTTAAACATACTTATGAAAATATCGACACCATTTATTTGAATAATTGTGTTCGCAAAATGGATACATTTTCTACTATGTGTGTGCATGTATAGAATAATATAATAGTTATAAAACATATTCTCACATGTATGTTCTCACTATGTAGATGTATTTTTTACTTAATATTTCCTGATACTTTGTGCACATCATTATCTTGTCTTATTGTTTCTTCTACTTTCATTTTGGGTTCAGGGAGTACATGTACAGGTTTGTTACATGAGTAAATTGTGTGTCGCTGAGGCTTGTTGTGCAATGATCCCATCAGCAAGGTAATGAGCACAGTACCAGATAGATAGCCTTCCAACCCACATACCACTCCCATCTTTCCCTCTCAAGCAGTCCTCATGTCTTCTGTTCCTATCTTGTGTCCATATGAATTCAATGTTTAGCTTCCACTTATATGTGAGAACATGCTGTATTTGGTGTTCTGTTCCTGCATTAGTTCATTTAAGATAATGTTCTCCAGCAGCATCCACGTTGTGCATATACACCATGGAATACTATGCAGCCATAAAAAGAATGAAATCATTATCTTGTCTTTTGCCCAGACCCCAATGGCCACCAAGCTTTCTAAACTCAGAGAATATGTACTCATAGAATTTTAAAATCTACAGTGGTCAAAATGCATATTCCTTCATTCATGCTTTAGTTGTGGAATAAAAGATGTCTACTATCTTTGAAGTAAGTAAAGAATTAGAATTAGTAACTGCGGTTTTCACTTTTCTGAATGTAGTTGATACCAGCCCTCCTCCCTTTCTCCAACTGCCCTGAAGAACCAATATTGAGTTTTCCCTTGTGCTTTTGTGGAGTTCAAGGAAGCATCCAGATCTTTTCTACAAAAAACACCCACAGTACTCACCTTACTGGGAATTTCTTCAATGGTAGTCCAGATCTTGAGATCTTCAGAAATGTTGGAAACCAGGATTGTTTTGAGTAAAGAAATAAATCAGTAACGCTCTCAGAAACTGAAATACATAATGTTGTAATCTCCTGAAATGCCAAGAAAATGAAGTATTTTTGAAGACAACAAGGGAAAATGGCCCTCCGTAGAGTCACTTGACCAGTACTGGCTTCCTCATATTCTGCTACTTCCGCAGGGAGAGAGGAGTTGTGAAACCATGTGTAGATTCCTCCCACCAGTATTTTTTAGCTTTCGATTCTGTTAGAGAAAATTAAGAGTTTTTTTCCTGTAGGTATCTTAATGAAAGTAAAATTTGCATCAAAATTATATTTAAATTTTTTTTCTTACAAATATCGATAGCTGAATGAAGTTCCAACCTTAGAACTTTCTTAGCCAATAGACTTACATGTGGGTCATTAGGGACCTCTGTTCTGTTGAATGATTATCAAATAGAAGTAAGGTGGCTTCTTCTCCCTCCTTTCCTGTGCAGAGTGGCAGTGACAGGAGGAGATACTGGTAGAAGCATCTATTGCTGCCAGTACTTTACTGCATCTCCTGGATGGGAGAATGTCTGCTAAGAAATTGCAATTGGTTTAAATATTACCCAAAGCATTCACCCAGTTATTAGTAGTTGACAAACCTAGGGACTGCCAGATCAGAAAGTTATTATGAATATGTAAATCCTTTCTCAAATATATATAAAGAAGTTTAACACTAGCTGTCCTCTTGATGATGACTAGGTTACTTTACCTCAATGATTAGATTCATGATTACTCAGGTTTTCTTCATTATTCGTGGAAAAACACAAGTGGATAGTGAGCTCACAACATGACAGCAGTGAAGCCTTGAAAGTCCTGGAAACACACTGAACTTCTGGTAGGGCGAGAGTCCTGATAAACCCTTTGCTCACCAGTGTTCTGTCTTTTAAGGGCAGTGGGTGTCCTTCAGAGTACTGTAACCCCAAGATGTCAAACAAATGACACTAATTGGCAGATGATGTGTTAACTCAGCAGCAGATCTGCCAGCAGGATGTGGCCATGAGTGAAAAGTGGGGCCCCAAATACAGCAGTAGGGGAGAAAACATGTTTTTAAAAATTACCCTTTTTAGGTTCTCAGTTGACAGTCTCCTGAAAACAAAAGTCAAATTAACAAAAGAAAAACCAGCAGTTTATTAATGTGTGCTCTACCCGTCACAAGGGATAGGCTTCAGTTCAAAAGTATTTCTCTCTCCAGGCTGTGGCTTAGAAACCTTGTTTAAATAATATTTCAGTAAAGAGCCATAAATCCTATGGAGTGGAAAGCAAAGGAGAAAGCAATTCCAGTCATTTAAAAGGTGGGAAAATGTGGGAAGTCAGTAAAATCTGTTCCTGGATTCCTCAGGTTCCTGCTAGTACCTTCTCTGGGCTAAAAAACAAGTGCTCTCTCCAGTCAATAAGGATTTATGTCCTGCTGTCAGCCAAATAGTGCCTGAGGCAGCATGTTTCCCTGCATTTTCAGTGTCTTTAACTTAACAATCCCGTTTCCTTCATAGATAATACAAATGATCTGAGGCTCTCTATGGAGCAAAAGAAATCTGATTGTCTTAGTACAAACCTGGGTCATGAAGAGGATAGTTAAAGTCTGGATTTAGAACCATATGATAGCGTTATCAAAGCAGAAGTAAGAAAAAGCAAGGAGGGTCTGGAAAGATGACCATACATAAAAATACCGTTGAGTGTTCATGGTTTTCGTTTATAGGTTTACGTTACTGTTAATGTGGATACACTGAGTTGGTTTTAAGATAATAGGTAGAGAGGGATATTAGGAAGGCCATGTTGCCCCATTTCAAAGGTCAGAGGGTAAGGGAAGCTTGGTAGAAACTACCATGTTTCAGGACATTTTTCTGTCCCCTTTTGGTGATCATTTCATGTCGGGTAATGCCTTCAGTTAGGACTTCAGCATACAACACACAAATTACTGTCACCGAAGAAGACAATTCAGATCATTGCTCCATAATCCATACTGTGCAGATAAAATTAGATGAAGCAAAGAAATGCTTTAAAAATATGCATTTTTTACTGATTCTGAAGCAGTGGGCAATAATTTGCAATTTGTGGGTCCACACAGAAAGGTCACTAATAAAACATACAAGAGCTCCTCATAAGGGGGAAAATGTCTGGGTGAACCTTCATGACTTTGTTTCATCTGAAGTACTAATTCCCATGATCATTCAGAGTCCTCAGGAAGTTCCCACCAGATTAATGTTCTAAGACGTTAGCAAATGACTACCTGTGGGACAATGCTAACACATCACCCACTTTGTAAGTAAAATGTTATTGAAACACAGCTGTGATTATTCATTAATGCATTGTCAATGTCTACTTCATGGTGCAATATAGAGTTGACTAGCAACAGAGTCCATCTGGCGGCAGAGCATAAAGATTTTATTGTACGGCTTATTACAAAAAAAGTTTGTCAATCTGTACCTAGTTATCAGTCTAGGAGACAGCAGAAAGCCTCTAAAGAGAGAAGCAAAAGTAAATAGAAGAGCAATGTTAAATCAAGTTTAGCCTAAAGCTGCCTTCTTACATATTTTAAGTTTAGCCTAAAGGTTTCTCTGTGCAGCCAAAATGGAAGTGTAAACAGACTGTAGTATACTTTTGTGTCAATCACCAAGTTTTGGCCAATCAAATGTGGCCAACTGTTCAAGCTGTTGTCAAATAAGGCAAACACTGAGCTATAACCTATCCAGTTGTCTCTCCATGTCATGTCCATTTTCTGTATCTTACTTCTCTTGTTCTGTTCCTATATCTTCCACTACTTGGCTGCCCTGGAGTCTCTGGGCGTACTCTGGCTTGGGATGCTGCCTGATTAACAAATCGTTCATTGCTCAGTTAAACTCTTTTAAATTTAATGAAGCTGAAGCTTTTCTTTTGACAGCAGTCACACCAAGAAACCACATTTGGGACTTTTAAAATCCATTGTAAAGCCATGGATAATAGCTTGTGATAATGTTTGTGATCTCAGAGAGGAAAATGGAAATGGAGAGTGTTAAAGCCTTTCTCTAATTAATTACACCAGAGTCAGAACAAAACCCATTTGCATGGGAGCCTTAGTTAGCAAGATTGCTTTATGCATTCATGACTATCGGCCACCTGAGGTGCCTTCTCCTTTTATCTTTCAAGTAAATAGGTTTCTCTTTTTTAAGGAGGCAAAAAAGGTGATTGAGTTTTAAATGTTGAACCAATCTTATATCCCTAAGATAAAACACTTTTAATGACGCATTATAATATATCATAGATTGATAAGTGTAATTTTTCAATATTTTAAAAGTGTTTCGCATTTATTTTCATGTGAGAATTGGCTTTTATTTTAGTTTCTGTGTAATGTCTTTAATTTTGGTGTGACAGCAAACTGGCATTTCTAAAACAGAGTGTATAGATGTGGTAAACTTTTATCCTCAAATGTCTGATAGAATTCACAAAGTATCTATTCCCCAAACTTTCACCACAGAAAGATTTTTGTTATAACTTCTCTTTCTCTAATAGATAGAAAAATATTTAGTTGTTTTATTTCCTTACAAGACAGTTTTGGTAAGTTGTGTCTCACAGGAATATTTTCTGTAATAAATTTGTGTTTTACAGGAACTATGCGAATAAGTAAACAAACTTATTTGCATAAGATTGTTCATAATATTCTTTTATTGCCATTGTAATATCTGTAGTGTCATCCCTTCACATTCCTGACACTGATCATTTATATTATCCTCTCTTATTTTTCTTGATTATTCCTGGTAGACTGACTCTCTGAGGAGGTTGCTCAGGGAAGCTCAAAGTCCAGAGGAGAGACAAAAAGAAAAAAGGAATCTGAAGCCTTTGGCACCTACATCTAGAACGAAAAGTAAACAACGTTTTAACATCTAGCCAGATTAACAAAAAAATTTTATACTAAAGGTCTGTTTATTTCAGTTTATATTACCTGATCACACAGCTCTCCCTTTTGACAAAAAAAAGGCAAGGTATGCTAAAGACAAAGAAAAACAGAGTCTGAAGGGTCAAAAGAAGCATCATTAGGAGCAGACTCAGATATGACCCTGATGTGAAAATTTGCTGATCGGGAATCTAAAATTACTATGATTAATATGTTAGCGCTCTAATGGAAAAAGTAGACTGCATGCAAGAGTAGATGGGTAACTTAAGCAGAGAGAAGAAAACACTAAGGTAAATCAAACAAAAATGTAGAATGTAAAACAACTGTAGTAGAAATTGAAAATAATCAATAGACCAGACACAATCTAGAAAAGAATGTTACCTAGAAGATAGACCAATAGAAATTTCCCAAACCAAATGCAAAGGGAAAAAGCATTAAGCCCTCCAGCCCTTAGAATATCTAATAACTGTGGTGGGGTATCTTAAGATGTAACATACATATAATTGAAAAGTCAGAAGGTAAAGAACGAAGGAAGCATAAAAAGTACTGAAGTGGTCTGCTTGTCTGGCGCGACACCCGAGGTTCTTGGTCTCCTGGCCACAGAGATCAAGGATATGGACACACACAAAGAGTGAGGTTTAGAGTAGAATTTTAATAGGTGAAAGAAAGAGAATAGCTCTCTGCTACAGAGAGGGGTCCTGGAAAAATGGGTTGCTGATCTGTGGTAAAATGCAGGGATTTTTATAGATGAGCTAGTGGGGAGACAGTGTCTAATCTACATAGTGTCTGAAAAACTGGTTAGGACCAGATATGCCATCTGCATAGAACCCGAATCTCTGGCTGCCCCCACCCCAGTCTTTTTTTTTTTTTTTT